AACTTTTTTACTTTAAGTGAAAATAACGAAAAAGCAAAATTGAGAATTCTAGAAGCCCTTAAAACCTTTTTAATATCATAATTATGATCAAATGAACCCACCTTGTGTTGGTTCTGCTTCATTGATCTTGTTAATCACAATCCGGCCAAAGAAGTGCCTTATTGAATTCTGGGCCGTTTACTTCATTTACCAATCAAATGTCAACTGAGCACCTTGAACACCTCATCAACTTATAAGTTCTGACCCAAAATGACTGTTTCACTCTACTGTCAAATCGGGTCACATTCCTTTGTCGACTTCTCAGAAAAAGGAAGAAAATGACTTCAAGTGGTCAAAAGGTCGAGTCTTGGCATTGTGATGTTTGGATTTCGATCCATTTTAGTTTTGCTGTTTCATTTTGTTACTGTGGTTGTGGTGACAGGGTTTTGAACTCATATTAAAATGAATAGTGCAATATTCACAAAGTTCTCTTTTTGTAAAATAGCAGCAAGAAAGAGAGAAAACTCTTGTATAAGTATAGGTTGCATTCTGCTTAAAAAATCTATAAACAAATAAATAAGAGAAATAGAGAAATGACTGAAATAAAATATGGCTTCAAATGGGTTCCACAGTGGTAAATCCAGAATAGTGCTCGACAATAATGGAGTGGAAATAGCACAGTTTTTCTACTCAATAGTGCTTCTTATGGACTTTAATACAGAACTATTTTGTAGGCCAACAAAGCGGTAGTCCACTCATCCGTTAAATTCCATAGACACTCATTAATAATGATAATAATACAGGTTCTTATTAAGTGCATTTCTGTCCTCAATTCGCTTTACATTACGATAGGAAATAGAGAAAAGTAAGAAAAATCTCTAGCCTATGTGACAAACTATACATTAAGTATTGTAAACTTAAAGTGGTTGATGGCTTCGAATAAGGTTTCTACTTCTCGGTGGTTAGGTCTAATGTTACGTCACGGAAATTGACGACTTTTTTAGTGTGCAGGTTGTTTGTGGTGAACACTGCAGATTTCTTTTTTAATCTTTTCGATTTTTTGTGGGGTTTGGTCAAGAACTGCTAAATTGTCTTCTCTGCAAAGCCCAATGTCCATGCCATAAGACTTCTCTTTTAGTTGCCAGAGGATGTAGATTCTGATTAATTCGCATGTTTCCGCTCCATCGTAACTGCCCATGGTGACGTTAAAGAGCGTGTTGGTGTTTGTCTTCTTCTAATGGTTTCTGTTGTTGAAAAGAAGGAACTTTTTAGCCTCGACGATTATGTAGTGATAATCATCAGAGATGTTCATGTAATTGGTTGCAAAGTCACGGGCATGCTCGAGTAGTGTCTCTGATATGGGAAAATAGAATTCCACTACATTGAAGCTTATGAAGGCGCACTTTCGTTTGTTGGGCAACTTTTGTAACCACTGCAACACTGAGGAGGTGTTTTTCCACTGATTTGTTTTCGTGACACTCGGCATCTTCTTGTTGTTGGATTTGTTTGTTAATTTTGCTTATCTCCTGTTTTGGGTTTATTTTTAAAATTGTCCTTGTAATCTTTCAAAGTGATAAAAGCTTCTTTTGTGGCATTTGTTTTGACGCGGTCGTCAATACTTAGTTTCTGGGTAATTAGTTTCGCCTTGTTAATTTCATTGAATTGGTGTTTTTTCGCTTCCTTGTAGGTTTTTGTAATGTTGTCAATTAGGAGGTGATGGTTCTTCGTGGCTTCCAATTTGTAGAGGTTTGTGGATTTATCAGCCTTTACAAATAAATGGTTGTCACTTTTAATGGATTTGATACCTCCAGCGAGGTCTTTCTGAAACTGACACTAGACATTCTTAAATTTAACTTTTTGGATAATCTTTGTCCTCACATCCTTGAACTCCTTTAGCTCCTCAGTGACTGGTAGGTTGTTTCTAGTCTTAAAGCCAAAATGTTTTTTTCCTACGACACAGAACTAAGCAATCATCTATGGCAGCTAAAGGATGAAATGATTTTGCGGTCTGGAAAATTCTAGCCTAGGCTAAATCCTATATGAATCCCAAAAAAGGGTGTAACCTATGTAATGCCAAGAAATTCTCTCTCTTATGTAAACCGCATGGCAACACTTAATAAAGGAAACGAACCTTGTCTCAACTTGCAGGCATAAGCGAAAGTTCCTTCTCAATTGCATCCTTAAGAACTAATCGTAAGTTTCCTATTGTGTTTTTGTTTTTGTTTTTAAGGTTGAATTTCATAAGGGCTTCGGGGAAGATCTATTGCTGGTGTTTATAAACTCGAGCGTTACTTCAGTGTGTATGGAATTTAACTGATGAATGGACCAACGCTTTGTTTGTCTAAGAAACAGTTCTGTGGTCACATGAAGCAATAGTGCGTAGAAAAGCTTTGTTAAAGTATAATATATATATTTAAGATTTCTGAGGTATGCACATCCGTACGTGCATATATTGTCACTATGCCCCTGGATATTGGAACTCAACAAGGATCTTACAACTTTTACCTCGCCACTCGGTAAAAGAGATTTCTTTCGTTTTGAGGAATGTTGAAATGTTGATGTTGTTTAAAATGAAAAGCTGTAATGTTCTCAAGTACGAAATAGTAATAAAATGATAACAACAACGCTGAAGCACTTTAAAAAATGTTTTGAGCTAAGAAACCTTTTAAGGTTCATAAATTGTCATTGTTTAACAATTGTCAATTTTAACAATTTCAAACTTGTCTTCATATTTTAAGAATTTCCGAATTGACGTTTTACTCAGCCTGTAACTTAGTAACAATATTTCGTGCATTTGAAGTAATGTTCAGGTTCCTTGAAATAAGAGCTTTTGAACTAAATCAATAGTGTTAATAGTTTCATGACCAAATTGTCCGGGGAGAGTGTTTGAGCAGTCTTCAAATATCGTGAGTGTATTTTTCTGACCTTCATTGAGAAGGACCACAATGGCATAAGGCTTTGTTGGTCAGCTGGATGCCTTTATCACGTGTGACCATTGATCACATTTTACCACTTTTTCTTGGGTTTGAACAATTCGCTTACTACAGTTACAGCAGGCTTTGTATTTCTGAACATCTTTTATTGTGTGGATAGATGACGCATGAATGACATGCTCATTAATTACTTTGTTTGTGACATTTTCGATGCACTGAAGTGAACTGAAATGAAGGTCAAAAGTTCTTACGATCGCTGTATTAATGGTGGCAGTTAATTTTTTTACATTGCTCCAGTAGCTGGTGGATCCGTTGGTAAATGGGTATGTATAATTTTCTTGAACTTGAGTGATCTGTTCGTTCCATCAATCGAGTTGCCTCGTTTTAGTTTCATCTAGGATAAGGACTTAGCAACTGTCTTTGTTCTTCCTTGGTTAAGGATAGTCTGTGAAGGATAAATCTTTATGAGTTTAGCGCATACTGTAATGTAATCTTCTAGGGAAGCATTGTCATTTAAGAGGTTTACCCGTGGTGTTAGGCTTAATGTCAGCTTCAGAGTACTAGAAGTTGTATTCTTCGTTGTTTGGCGCTGTGATGATAGTTGTATCATTGGTTACACTTTTGGTTTTCTCTGTAGACGTTGTGTAGCACGCGATTTTTATTGGAGACCTTGTGGTTGCATTTTCTTTTGCCATTCACGTGCTTGGAATTGACGCTGAATGTTTCTTTCATATAATTAAAGTCAAAAGGACTTCTGCAAAATTTGACCAAACAATGTGAAAAAGGCTAAGCTATACAGTGTTTAATACAACTGGCCAACACCAGTCTTCATCAGGTTTGTGAGGAAAAAACATGAATATACAGAATATATACTACTGTAAAAATAATAAATGGAAATTAGATGGTGAAGATTACATAATGACTATAGTTCGTCACGTTTTTTCATTCCCAGAGACTCGATGGTTTGGCTCTATGAATGAGGGATGCCTCACGTGCTTTCCTAGGACAATCGCATTCGTATTTAACTGTTTCAATCGTGAGTAGTAACATATGGGAAACAGAGTGACTATTGCTGAGAAAGTGTTCTGAAACTGTGGTTTCAATGTCACTGATGCACTGATATTGATTATAACAGGCAAGTTAATTAATTATCAAGAATTTAATATAGTGTTGAAAAGTTTAATAATACTATTGTAGATATTAACAACAATTACTCAGTTGTCAAGAGTATTCAGTATACTTCTATTAACACTTTTCAATTGCACTTGAACAATGATTATATCATTCTATGTTTTTAAAAAAATAATGTTTGTAATATTTATTTTCATGGTCCTCCTTTGGAAGGCAGTAAGGAATAGAATAACATTGTTCGTTCCAAGCATTATAGTTATTACTTAGGGAACAGTGTCTGCGATTGATACACCTTGGGAGGGTTAAGTGCAAGAAGACCACTCTTTAAAATCTTGAATGCACTAAAATAAAAAGGCATTAAGGAATTTAACAAAAACGAAAGTTGTAATTCAAATTATGGAAACTGTTGCATTGAGTCAAAGACAAATAATTAACAATTTCCCCCAAGAAACTATTGCTATTAAGGCTTGTTGCTGTCATTAGTGTTTCATCAAAATCAGTTGAGAAACTGTCCTCATCCGCAGTTCTACCCAGTCCATGTCAATGTCCATACCTCCATTAGCTCAATATCAAGTTCTTCAGCTTGCTGTATGTCACCAAAACACCGGCTGATGATGTTTATAATGGCAACTGCATGCTCTTTGTGCCACACTTCTACTTATTTACAAACATCCTGTACAGTAAAAATTTTTCAACAATTTTCCAAAACCGGCTAAAAAAAAAAGTCACCAAGGTCAAGCAGTACATGTGGACAACTAACAAACTGCCAGTTTGGTAGTTGTCCAAAATGTACTGCTTCTGATCTAGTTCATTTAATTGTTTGTTTACTTCATCTGTCCTGTACCTTTTTAGGGGCATTTTTTAAGTAGAGTTTGCTTTCTGAAGACACAGGCCTCTCCCTAAAGTGTGATGGTCCAGGTAGTTCAACAGTTTCTGACATTCCAAAACAAAATGCTTCTAATCGCACAAACAATTTGCAGCACAGTTGTCGCAGCACTCATGTTTATAAGGGGTGACTTGCTTTAGTTTATTGTTGAATGGGGCAAACAACACTTCCCTTCTGCACTGATTAGTTTTACAGTACTTTTTTATCTTTTATCTTCCTCACAACTGTTTGAAAGTATCCCATTGTAGAACAGAGTACAAACAGCAGGCAAGCCATCTCTTCTGCCCCTGCCACTTTCTTACATGTAACATTCCAGGTTCTTTACAGGACCCATATGGTAAACCTTCCTGAATTTTTTGCAATTTATATCCCCATTCTGAAGGCAATTGTTTTATTAAGGCAGTGGATATGGCCATCATCACCGGAGAGGTTCTCAACAATGTGCTTTTTAACAGAAGAGGGAGTCACTGCATGGTACATTTCTACCATGCGGTTTTGAGGCTGTTTAATTTCACTAAATAACTTGTCACCTAAAAAGAAAGTGAATGTTCTGAAGATCACTGCACAGACTGCTTGTGTGTCTGACATTTCTCGTTCTGCCATTTTACCATGTTCTTTTATTCCTTTAATGGCTTCTGCAAATATTTGTTCAAATGGATTACTCTTCTGTATGTAAACGGCACTGTACTTCAGATTTGAATGTCAGGGCTCTTCAATAACCACAGTCTGTGGAGCAAGGTAAAGGGTTTCCGAAAATTTGTGCCTTGTTGACTTGGTTGCACTGGCAGTTACTACAACTAATTTGGCCTCCCTTGGGATGAGTGACCTTAACTCTGCCAGGTTTCCAAACGATTCACGAAATGGGACACTTCTTTCCTAGCAAGACCCCTGTAAGAAATATAAAATGCGATTTGAATTAAAAACAATCATTGACTAAGTCTTCATCCAGTAATGTACTTTGTTCAGGCCCACATGTTGCCAAATTGCACAAGTATTGTCAATTTTTCTCTCGACGAACAGTCATCCCAGAAGGAGTTGGCCATGTGCTTGCATGTTTTACATTTCAACCAATGAGCACCTCTGACAGAAACGATCAAACTGGCAGCCAGTGAAAAGCTCTTAAATATTTTCTTGCAAAAGGAGACATCACATAATATGATTGATGCGAGCGTTTTGTAGACACTCCCTCTCTCCATTTTTCCTTTTTTGCGGGGAGGGTGCGGCTACACGTAAGCTACATAAGTTTGGTGAAGAGATGGGGGGAGGGGAAAGAGCCCCTGAGCCAAGCAGCTAAATTGATATAGGTTTCCCTGCCATATGAATTTAGGATATTTTTGCTGCTTTTTGGCAATAGGCACTGAATAGTAGGCATCCCGTAGGTTATGGATGCCATGTAACAAGAAGGTCTCATGAGTTGGAACAAGTATGGATGGAATCCATTTTAAATGTTGAAAACAAAGGTATTAACATCCTTTTAGTTAAGGATTGTACGGAAAGACCCATCTTTTTTAGGCCTCAGAAATATATTTGACATGAACTGTGCTTTCTCGAGTGAGCTTTTAACTAGGATCCTTTTTTCGAGGAATTTGGATATTTGTGCATTGACATTTACACTTTCCTGAGCTGAAAAATTAATTGTCCTTGGGATGGTAAACTGTCCTGGGGTAAGGAAAAAAGTCTGTTTTGTATCCTGTTACAGCATTCAAGATGTTGGGGTCATGTGTTAATTGTTTCCATTTTCCAAGAAAATGTTGAATTCTCCCAGCTACAATGCAAGGACAAGTCTTGTCACCCTTAACAGATAAAACAGGAAATTGAGTTACAGCTTCAGGGGTCACTTCTGTGTCACAGATTTCTTCCCCTTGAAGGGGTTGTTCATGCTCCGATTGTCTTTGTGACTGAACTAGTAGGTGTTTCTCCTTCGGGGGTATCCTTGGTGGTGATCCCACGGCGATGGAATAAAAAAGAGCCCCTGGCTGAATAGGAGGACCTAGAATACTTTTCATTGTGTTTCCCTTAATGGCCAGTGAGTTGTTTAGCGGCTTTGTTGCTTTCTTTGACTGTCTTCAGTCATTCTGTAAGGTCATCGCCAAACAGTTCGGGCGGCACAGGCTGTTTACTGGTACATATCGCTTTGTAAGTGCCATCAAGATCTACCTTTAACAGATCTCACCGGCACATCATGTCCAGGTCATGTGTGGCAGAGGCTATAAGAAGCACCACGTTGGATAAGCCTTTCCAAAGTTCATCCGGAGAAGGAATTGTCCCTTCCTTTTCCAGGACTTCTCCTGTAGTTCTCAT